TCTTTAAGACCCTGTCTCCAGGTGCCTGCAACTTCTCCTTTCCTCCTTGTCTTTACAAAAGTGCTTTCCCCCAGCCGCCATTACAGGTGTGACCTGGGGTAGAAAGGGAAACTTGCCCTGGATGATGATTCAGAACCATTCAGAACTAGCCTGTGGCATGAACCTCTGGTCCCTACTGAGGCTGCTAGTTACTGAATTAGGAAAATAAGTTGAGCCCAGGAGTTTGAAGCTGGTCTGGGTAACATTAGCAAGATCTTGTCTCCAAAAACAAGCAGGTAGCCTAGGAGGTGGCTCAGGTGATGCAGCGTCACTGTGCAAGCACGAGGACTTGAGTTTGGACCCTGTCACCCACGTGTAAATTAGGCATGGTGCCCCGGTTCTCTAACCTGGACAGACAGGTGCATTGTGGGAGCTCGCTGGCCCACCTGTCCAACCAGTTACTGAGTTCCTGGCTCACGTGGAAGGCAGAGGTGTAGTCTCAGTGATTTCAAGGCCAGCCTGGTTTACATAGCGGGTTCCAAGCCATCCAGGTACGGAGTGGGACCTTGTCTCAAAAAACAACAACAAGAAACAGAAAACCAATAGAGGAATTGAAAACCAATTGAGGAAAACACCCAATGTCAACTTCTGGCCTTTACACACACACACACACACACACACACACACACACACACACACACACACACACCAAACAAAACGAGGGACTGGAGAGGTGGCTCAGCGGTTAAGAGCACCGACTGCTCTTCCAAAGCACCCGGGTTCAATTCCCAGCATCCACATGAGAGCTTACAACTGTCTCTGGCTCCAAGATCTGACACCCTCGCACAGACATTCATGTAGGCGAGACCAATGTACATTTAAAAAGAGAGAGAGAAAAAAAAAAAGGTTAAAAAGTGGGATGTTAAAATAGCCTTGGGACTGACTGCTTGCATCACCTACTTTCACCCTGATAACTGTCCTGTCTTCAATCTGTTCCGTGGCCAGCATGTGTTCCTGGTGCCTACTGCCAAATTGGACAGAAAGAGGCAGGAATTAATCTCGGCCTGATGGGGGACCCAAGAAAAGATGAGTCCTTTATAAGGATAAATTTAGTTGTTCAAAAGCCTCCATCCTGCTAAGTGGACAGATTTAAAATGATGTGGGCCTGCCCTAGGTGTGCTCCTGAACCAGAAGTTGTCTCTGGGGTCGGCATTCCACAGTACTCTGCTTGTCTTGTGGGGAAAGGGCCATCAGATGGTTTGATTTAGGATGGGCAGGAAACGTGGAGAGCTCTGTTTTTATTCTTCTGCTGTATAGTTCTCAGTTCTCAATTCCAGGCCAGATATTCTTGGGGTAGGTACCATTTGTAAGTGTTTGGGGTTCTAGTAACGGTTCCTCTGGGGATTTACTTTGTAGAAGACACCACAGCTCAGAAACCCAGAACCAGCAAAGTGTTCTATGAGCCAGATGTACTTACAATGTGACAACAGAAATGTCCTTAACCTTTAACTTTTGAAGTTTGTTTTTTGTTTTTGTCTGTTTGTTTTGTTTTTGAGACAGAGTCTCACTGTATATCCCTGGCTAGCTTGGAACTTACAGAAATCCACTAGCCTCTGCCTCCTGAGTACTGGGATTAAAAGCATATACTACCACACCTGGCTGTTGTTTTTAAGTTCTTAAGATGGCTTTGAGTTTCCTACCTCCTGCTGAAAGGTTAAGGAATTGTTATCTGAATGGGAATGACTGGGTAGAAGGAGCCTCAGTGAGTGGAAATTCAGGTCCATATAAGCTATCTGAAAACTAGAGAAAAGTGGGTGTGGTCGTGCCCTCAGGAGGCCTCAGAGGCAGACTAGTTCCAGGTCACGTAGTCAGACACTGCAAAAAAAAAAAAAACAAATTTTACAGACAATTTTCCCGTCTGCTGGGAACATCCAATGCCCTTAAGGACTTAGCATGGTGATGCTGAGTCAGAAGAAAGGTAGTGGAGCCCTTCTGTGAAAGCTGGGTCTTGACTGGGACCGGGGCTCCGGCACCTTTGATTGAAGGCTCCCCTCCCTCGCTGTTTGGTGTCCCTTGGGCATTCCACCCCAGGTCTAGAGTGCAGGGTAAAAGGAGAGGACGTATGGAACAGGCCTTCACACCATCTCTGCTTTTGAAGGGGGAAGACATTTTCATCCCGCTAACGCTGGGGAACTGAGGAGGAAGCCCTGCTGACGGAAGGCTGGACCGCTTGCTACTGGATAATCGTAGCCCTTCATGTTGCACCTCTCCAGGTTCTTAGGGATTCTCCGTTTGGGTTCCGTTTTGTACGAGTTTGGCAAATAACCTGCAGAAACGAGCTGTGCTTGCGAGGACTTCATAGTTCCCAGAATTTAAACAAAGAAAAAATTCCACTTGATCAACTTAATTCCTCCTTTTATTTTTCCCTCCCTCACTGCCCTTCCTTTTCACCCTTTTCCAAGCTGTTTGCTTTGCAATATGTTACTGGTAATGAGTTGCAGATAATGCAATCTTAACTTGTTTTCTTCTAAGTATTTGAGTTCAAAACTCCTGTATCTAAAGAAATACGGTTGGGGTCATTAATAAAGAAAATCTTTCTATCTTACTTGAGGATTTACTGAGTTTCTGGACTAGGAGTCCAAAAGAGAAAAGGAAACTAGGTTTGTTGGTACACACCTTTAAATATTTTTATTTTATGTGCAATGCATAAATGTTTTGCAGATACGCACATTCACAACTGTGCTTGCGCACCAGGTAAGGAAAGGGGCATCATACCCTTTGGAATTGGAGTTACAGGTGGTTTTGAGCTGCTCTCCTGGTCCTAGAACCAATCCAACCTCTCTGCAGAAGCAATAAGTGCTAACCACTAAGCTTACCCCTTCATCTGCTATGGCATACACCTTTTTGTTTGTTTGTTTTTTGAGATTTTGAGACAAGGGTTTCTCTGTGAACAGCCTTGGCTGTCCTGGAACTCAGGCTGACCTTGAACTCAGAGAGGTCCACCTGTCTGCCTCCGAGTGCTGGGATTAAAGGTGTGTGCCACCACCGCCTGGCTCTGGCATGTACCTTTTAATCTTAGCACTTGGAGGGTGAGGGTGGAAGGATCGAAAGTTCAGGGTTATGGCAAACATGCGTTTGAGGCCCATCTGGGCTACGTGTGAGGACCCCCCCCCTCAAAAAAAAGTGCTTTCTGTCTGGGCTGTGTGTATATTAGAGATGATTGGGATTTGGGTGGGGGTTTGTTAGTTTTGAAGTAGGGTCTCACTGTGTAGTCCAGCTGCTCCCACTCAGATCCACCTGCTTCTGCTTCTGAGTGAGCACTGGAATTAAAACTGCTTGTTCTTCAGTCACATAATAAAGGCATTTCCTGAAAGGGGGTCCTGCAGGACACTGATGGCTGTTCCAGAGTGGAGCTCATACATACTGACTGGCCACACTCCCTCACATTCCAACAGATTGGTGTACTCCAAGAAGCTCACTGTAGGAGGTGCCTGCCACATAGAGACCTAGGAACCTGCCAAAACATGCTGTCCCCTAGCAAGATACTGGTGCCAGAAATAAAATTTGTTTGGTAAGGTCTTGTCCTGAGAATTTGAGGGTACCCACAGTGATTTGAAGGCTGTTCTTTTGTCCCCATTTCAAGCAGTGTGTTTCAAACTAATTTGACAGTCATAGTGAATTATGTGGTCACCTGACTGTAGGTGACCAGCACTTTTATTTTCTACACGTTTGTTTTTCAGATAGTGATGCACTTGCTTGCATGCATGTTAGACATAGTAAAGCCAGGTCCTGTCACCTCCCCAGTGTGACAGCTGGAGTAATAGTAGCCCAGGATTACACCAGTAAAATGACATACTTTATGTGTCCCCTTTCTTCACGTTTAACCAGTTTTATTTAACACTCGTGTGTACCTTTGTTGTGTGTGTGCGCATTTTTCTTACTTAGTTTTCTGAACAGCAGCGTTTGTTTTAAAAGCGGAATAGTGCAGATAAGAGCAGTTACTATAGCACACATAGTATAGATTGGAGTTTTTTGTGTGTGCGCGCGCGCGCGCGCACGAGTGCCAGGTCAGGGTTAGAGAACCGTTTTACTAAAGTATCTTGAGAGATATTTAAGAGTTTCAAAGGTAGTTTGATAGAGTTTTTGTTCTTGTTGGATGTGTTTTTGAGATAGGATCCTGTTATCTAACCCAGGCTGGCTTCTGCCTCTCGGGTGCTGAGATTACAGGTGTGTACTGCCTTGACCACTGTTTGTTTGTTTGTTCTCAAAATTGGTAAATAAATAAATAAAAGCATATACTGCTCTTTCAGAGGACAGGACTTGGGCTCCTAGCACCCACATTAGGCAGGCAGCTCACAACTAACTACCTGTAACTCCAGCTCCAGGGGTATCCAACCCTTCCACCCTTAGCAGGGACCTGCACTTATGAACATGTACCCACACACAGACACAAGTTTTAAAAATAATAAACCCCGGGCTGGAGAGATGGCTCAGAGGTTAAGAAAGAGCACTGGCTCCTCTTCCAGAGGCTCTTGAGTTTAATTCCCAGCAACCACGTGGTGGCTCACAACCATCCATAATGATTTCTGCTGCCCTCTTCTGGTATACAGGCATACATGGAGGCAGAATGTTGTATATATAATAAATAAATCTTTAATAATAATAAACTCCAGTTCTCGGGAGAAGTAGAATGAAGTGGATTTCTGTGATTTCAAAACCAGCCTGTTCTATGCAGTGAGTTCCAGGCAATTCAAGGATACAAGGTGTGATCTTGTCTCAAAATAAAACCCCAGTAGGGTCTTACCTTCTGGCAGGCAACCAATAATAATAGCAATAATCTGTATGTATTCTTTTGGGGGTCTCTGAAACATTAGATTTCTAAAGAAGTATTACAGGAGCCGGGAGTGGTGGTGCACACCTTTAATTCCAGCACACAGGAGGCAGAGGCAGGTGGATGTCTGAGTTGGAGGCCAACCTGGTCTATACAATGAGTTCCAAGACAGCCAGAGCTATTACACAGAGAAACCCTGTTTCAAAAGAAAAGAAGAAAGAAATTGTAGAAGAAAGATATAATGGCATTAAATATTTTTATAATAGTAAATTCTGTCTAATTCTACAATACTTTGCCAACATCAGAAATCTATGGTGACTGGATGAGACCTTTTCTCAGTCATTTAGCCACTGTTAAGGTGTTCGTGCTCCTGTAAACAGCTCTAATGAAATTCACTGAATTCTTAAAAAAGAAAAAGAAAAAATGGAAGAACAGTTGGGAAGAGGACAGGAGTCAGCAGGCATATCAGGACAAGAGGGTACCAAGTAAGTATGGTCATGCATTGCATGCATATGTAGGAAAATGTGATGGGACGTCATGATAACATATAGTAAATGGGAGGGAAAATGCACTTTGAGTTGGGCATAGTGACTCATACTTATGATCCCAGGACTCCCAATTTCAAAATAATGAGAAAAGAACGTGTGTGTGTGTGTGTGTGTGTGTGTATACAACATAGGCATCTCTACTGTATACAGGCACACATGTATATATACATGTGTATTTGGATGGGGTTCCTCCCCAACCCAGTGCTAGGGATGGACTCCAGAGCCTCGTCTGTACTAGGCCACCACCAGCCACCATGAGCTACGCTCTAGTTCTATAACAGCCATGTGATCTTATTTGTTCTCTTTTTAAATTGTGTGTGTGGGTATGTATACATGAGTGCAGGTTCCTGTGGGGGCCAGAGGCATTGGATCGCTCTGGATCTAGAGTTACAGGAGGATATGAGTCACCCAACATGAATGTTGGGAACCAAATTTGGGTCCTCTGCAAGAACAGTATACTCTCAACAGCTCTGCCATCTCTGCCCCTTACCTGGCCCTCCCTTGGTTCCCTTTATGCACCCAGATAGTACTGGTGGATAAGTGGTATTAAGTCAAATGTCTTGGGCTTTCCAGCCCTTCCCTAACATGGTTGTGCTCTTTTCCTTTATTGGAAAGAGGGGCGGGGGGTAGATATAGAAGGAGAACGCCCTAACCTAACTGCTACATCAGTCTGCTTTATAGATGCGCGGATGTGGCAGTTGACATCAGTTGCTTTCTACATAGGGCTCACCTGACACACCCTTGTCCAGCCCTCCTGGAACCTAAGCTGAAAGACTGTGAGAGTGAGAGAGTGTGTGTTAGGACTGCTGGGATTCAAGGGTCTCACATAGGCCAGGCTAGTGCTCAACTAGTTCCTGTTTCAGTCTAATCTCGCTAGCCATTCGGATTTAAGGACAGGGTCTTCTCCCTCAGCATCTGAATAGGGGTTAGCCTATTCAGGTTCAAGGTTAGCCTGGGCTACATACCAAGACCCTGTCCCATTGGGAGGATGGGGGTGGCTGATAAGCAGTTGCAGGGACAGCAATTCAGAGTACGGGAAGCTTCATCTGCCTCCCTGGTCCATAGTAACTGCCTTCAGACCTCATGAAGCACACCAACCCAGTCTCAAATGCATCAGGAAAATAGAATAGGAAAGCGGACCAGGGAGGTCCAGGAGGCTTCTGGGACGGTCTGGAATGTCCATCCCAGCACATGTTCTCCATCAAGAAAACAGCAGGTCAAGGCCACAGGCAGTAGATGGAGCATCTGAAGACTTGCACCCGCCTTCTGTGGTTGGAAGGGTAAAGGAAACTCTCATGGCCAAGGGCTTGACAGAGAGGAAGCAGATGAGCTGAGGGAAAAGCGGAGCCGAGCACAGGACAGAACCCAGGCTCTCCAGCGCCCACTGCCTGAGCTGTGTCCCTTTCCACGTCATACCACACACAGTGTTTAGATAGAGCAGAGAAGAAACAGACATCCCGAATCTCTGGGGAAGGAGGCTGGGAACAGAAAATGGGCTGTTTATTCCTGGCAGCGCCGTGTCCAAGGGGTCTTGCACCACTTAGGTCCAGCCCCAGACAGCTCTCCCAGAGCCTGACTCACGCACCGCTGCCACTCGGTGGGTCTGAGACTACCGGCTTCCTCCAGCTTCCTGCTCTGCTCAGTCTCCCCGCAGAAGCCCCGCCTCCCCAGGACCAGGAATGTGGGCTGCGGGGCAAACCATGCCAGAGGTCTCAAACCTCCAGCCTGTGGGCTGCATTTCTCCAAGGGAACAGACGTCCTCCTGCTCTGTGAGGAGGTTTGCCTCATCTCAATTCCAGCCATCTTGCTGCAGTCTCGGCTCCTTTCAGCCCTTAAGTTTGGCCGGGCTCCTCTCCCCCATCACCCTAAAGCTGCACTTGATAAACAGTGCAGTCCAGACACAGAACTTGGCTTCCACACAGTGAACATGCCCTTCTCTCACTATACCTAATGTCCTCAGTTTTCCTGTGAATGAAAAAATACCATTCCTTTGATATCGTAGGCTCCCTGTCTGCCTTTCCCGGCAGAGTGCGTGTGTGGAGGGGACAGATGCAGAGAGGAGCAGAAATCCCGATGATGTTAGCATTTACAGCAATCAAGTACTCAAGAGCCAAGGGTCGATCTAGTTCCTGTTACCTCCTTTGCTGGAGGGGAGTCTCTTATTTCCTTCCTTGGTCTGGTTTTGTTGGTTTGAAACAAGGTCTCACTATGTTTCTGAAGCTGCAACTCACTGCAGCCTGTCTCAGCGCCACAAGTGCTAGGATCACAAACCGGCCTCGGGAAGTCAATTTTGAGCCCCACTGTGCAGATAAAACTGAGTTGTATCTGGCGGTAGGAGCGCACGCCTTTAATCCCAGCACTCGGAAGGCAGAAGCAGGTGGATCTCTGTGAGTTCGAGGCCAGCCTGGGCTACGAAGTGAGTTCCAGAACAGCCAGGGCTGTTACACAGAGACACCCTGTCTTAAAAACCAAAAAAGAGAAAGAAAAGAAAAACTAAGTTGGGAGAACTTCAACAATTTGCTCGCACAGCTGAAGCAGTGGGGGCACAGCCAGCCCCGTCGTCGTCATGACGACCACAGTATACACCTCAGCCCCATGGAGGAGGCCGAATCAGTCACTGGAGCTGACCTCCCCTCACTGCTGTCAAGCATTGTGTCCACAGGTACCTGTGACACCCCATGACGTTCCCCACCACAACCCCAATGGGTGGCTTTTCCTTTAAGAGAAGACAGACAGCATTGAGATAGGCTCACTGTAGCCCAGGCTAGCCTCAAACTTACACTGATCCCCGTGCCTCAGCCTCCCAAATGTTGGGATTACAGGGCTTGAACCTCTACACCAGATCCACTTGTGCCTTATGCATACCTCAAAACTTGACTGAGAAAACAGTTGAGGGCTGGGGAGGTAGCTGAGTTGATCAAGTTGAAAGGTGTGTAGGATGACCCCAGACTAGGAAGACAAGGCTGGATTTCTTAACTAAAAGGCTCATCTAGTGATGAACGTTGGTGAAGATTCTCAGGCCCCAACCCTCAACCACATCACCCCCCCCCCCATCTTGCATGCACACTATTTGGTGTATGTAGCTATTTGTGGGCTGCTGTGGCCATTCAGGGTTTAAACTACCTAAAATAGCTCTATTAGCTGGGGGAGGGGGTGGGGGGAGGTGCTATGTGTCAAACATTGATTGGCTGGAATGCATTCCCCAGGAAGAGCCTGGCAATGACAGCATAGGTTCTCGGAGGTATGGAAAACCACCTAGGTTTCACGATGTGGCTAGGGAAGGTTCACTCACACAGGAGGGGAGGCCTCTCAGCAAAAGCCGTCAGGAGGTGCCAAGTCCCACCCCAGAGGTGGAGCCAAGGCTGAGGCCCTCCAGCCTGGACTCCTCCATCCCTTCAGGAACCCACGCCAGGGCAGAGCCTGAGCCTGGTTCCTGCTGTCCCCAGCATAGAAGCGACATGCACTCATTGGCCAGGACACCAGGCATGGCCCGAGGAGTGGCAGCTGGGACTCTATGATCCCCAGAAGAAGGCCCAGCTAGCAAGCGCCACCTGTTCCTAACAGCCATGTGAGTAGCTACACCCCAACCCCTCCAGGTCCCATCCTGAAGAGGTCTCTGCAATGGCTTAAGCCACTGGAGTATTCGGGAGGCACGGTTCCCACCCCACCAGGACATTACCCCTGGATGTTGAGTTCTATCTTTACTCTGAGGGGGGTTGGTGAGGGACTGAAGGACTGGGAGATCCAGCTCAGGCTAGGTCCCCGTGGTTTAGTAGTAAAAGTGGATGGTATAGTGAGGAAGGGGATGAACCAGACAGAGGGCTGCTGGAGAGGGAAAGGCAGGCCGTTACCGGGGAATGATGAATAAGGCCAGGAGAATGGAAAGGCATCGGGAGCGCAGTCCTGGGAGCTGTTGGGATGGAAGGAGAGCATCTCTCAGCCTAAGGTAACCAGAGAGCTGATGCAGGTCCTGGGAGAGGCCCCGAGCAGGGGAGGGCAGAATCCTTCCGTATTGACTTTGATCCTAGCAACAGCAGATGCTCCCCTGTTGATAGGATCCAGGACCCCTCCCACTGGCCCTTGAATGTGGCCTAAGGCTGAGAGGAGGGAGCCAAATAAAAGCAAGCAGCAGGCAGGGTCAATCCGGAGGTTCCGCCTAGTCCCCTGGGTTCAGCCTGTGTTTAGAGGTTAAGGGTGGGGGTTCCTCTGTTCTTAGCACCCCCAATTCCTTGCCAAGCATCTCCCCACCCTACCCTCTAGTTCCCAGGAAGGGCCTGTTGCTAGTGTGGAGCGGACGAGTCAAGTTTATGGGCTGGAAGTCCTACCCGGAGGCTGTTCACTGAGCTGTAAGAGGTTCCAAGTGTAGACTGGGTGGGGGTGGGGGCACAGGGCACTCTGTGACTTCTCAGTCCTGGCCTTTAGGGGCCTTTCACCCAGTGGCTGTCTGGACACTGTCCTCTCTTGGCACCCCAATGTGGGCAGGCAAAGGTTGACACGCTTTGGGTAGGATGCCTTCCGGTCTAAACAGATATAAACACAGCTGCCCTGAGGCTAGAGGATGACTGAGATAAGGTGAAGCTGCCCAGTGTTATTGCCTGAAGGCAGCTTCTACCAAGATAACATACAAGGAACTAGGTTGCCAGAATTGAGTTTCCAAGCAAAACCAAAAGCATGACTTCCCTATGTCATTGTTTTACGTTTCAACTGAAAAAATAGGGTATGGCCCAGTCTCAATCTGCGGCTCCAGCCTAACCCCGGCCACTCCTCCATCCAGGCATGCTGACTGCAGCTCCAGGCCCTCCATGTGCCAAGACCCATGATGCCACCCAACAACACTGGGGAGGTGGCCAGCTCCATTCCCACGGGGGCACTGGCGCTTTCCCTGGCCCTGGCAAGCCTCATCGTCATCGCCAACCTGCTCCTGGCCCTGGGCATCGCCCTGGACCGCCACCTGCGCAGCCCACCTGCCGGCTGCTTCTTCCTAAGCCTGCTACTGGCCGGGCTGCTCACAGGGCTGGCACTGCCCATGCTTCCGGGGCTGTGGAGCAGGAGCCACCGGGGCTACTGGTCCTGCCTCCTTCTCCACATGGCCCCCAACTTCTCTTTCCTTTCCCTGCTCGCCAATCTGCTGCTAGTGCACGGGGAACGTTACGTGGCTGTGTTGCAGCCACTGCGGCCCCATGGGAGTACGCGGCTAGCCCTGCTCCTCACCTGGGTCAGCCCCCTGCTCTTTGCCAGCCTGCCCGCTCTGGGCTGGAACCACTGGAGCCCTGGTGCCAACTGCAGCTCCCAAGCTGTCTTGCCAGCCCCCTACCTCTACCTCGAAGTCTATGGGCTCCTGCTGCCTGCTGTGGGCGCTGCCACCCTTCTCTCTGTCAGAGTGTTGGTCACTGCCCGCCGCCAGCTGAAGGATATCTGCCGCCTGGAGCGGGCAGTGTGCCGCGATGCACCCTCAGCGCTGGCCAGGGCTCTCGCCTGGAGGCAGGCCAGGGCGCAGGCAGGGGCCATGCTGCTCTTTCTGCTGTGCTGGGGGCCCTATGTGGCCACTCTGCTGCTGTCGGTGCTGGCCTACGAGCGGCGCCCCCCACTCGGGCCTGGAACTCTGTTGTCTCTCATCTCACTGGGCAGCGCCAGTGCCGCAGCTGTGCCCGTGGCCATGGGTCTGGGCGATCAGCGCTACACAGCCCCGTGGAGGGCGGCTGCCCAAAGATGGCTGCGAGTGCTTCGAGGAAGAGCCAAGAGGGACAGCCCGGGCCCCAGCACTGCCTACCACACCAGCAGCCACAGCAGCATGGACCTGGACTTGAATTAGGAAACCGGCAGCTACGGTTGCCTCCCGGGAGCCTTCGCCCATCTCTTCTGCCCTACTTCTTTGGATTGGAGCCCTGGCTCCTTGAGACCTCACCCTGACCAAATAAATCCCTGGCCGCCATTTCAGGTTATCTCCTTCCGTATCTCAACGAGGGAGTGGGACAGGTTGACTGCTCTAGAAGGACCCAGACACAGAGGGAGCACCAAAGAGATCTCACCTCCAACTAGGCACTGGCCTCCTGTCCAGGCACCACAAAATGCACGCAGACACTGCCTCTGGGAAGTATATTTTATTTACATTTTTAAAATCTGTAACTAGTCTCTCTTCCTCCTTTCCTTCCCCAGAGAGTTGGGAAGGGAAAGAACGGGAACCTCAAAGACCTACCCCCCACATACAAAGACGCACCCCATGGCTCACACCAGCAAATCAAAGTGAAAGAAACACGGCCTCCTAAAGGGCCCAGGGCTGGACAGGGGAGGGAGGGCCTGGGAAGGCGGGTCTCCAGGGAAGAAAGGGACAAGGAGTGGACAGGTCAGCTGGAGGGATTGGAAAGCAGTCCACTGCCCTCCCTCCTGTTCCCTCTGCACCCTGCACCTCTGCTGGGGTGGGGGCAGGGGTCTCCCTTTATCCCCCTCAACACCAGACGCCATGCCAGAGCTGCGGCCGCTAACGGTCAGGTCTCTGGACACAAAATACTTTCGCTTTGTGGTCTCCTGACGTTGTCACCACCAGGGAGGCATCTCTGTGGACAGAAAACGGGTGATAGGACTGAGGAACCTGAGGCCTAGTCCAAGCCCATCCCCCAGAGGTCCTAGGGCATTTGCTCCGGCATCACCTCTATTCGAGGTCCCTAGCTGAGTCTGCACGTGGTTCTCAAGCCAGGGAGCCGACTCAAGAATGTCCGTGAAGACCGCAAGAGAATCAGTGAGGGAAGCCCCAATATGGGAGCAATTCAGAGCCCAGGGGGACAGCTTCATTCCAGTCTCCTGCCTCACAATGGGTAGCTCACTGCCAGTCTGGGATAGGGCTGGATCCCAGGACTGTGACTGCACAGGTGGCCTGGCATTCCTTCATCGCGGGATGCAACCAGGTATTGGGTCTCACCTCTCTCAGGAATCGCCTCCCATTGCCCAAAGGACCTGTGCTACCTCCCACCAGACCCCCTTTCAGGAGGAACCAGCCCTTATACTTACTTGCTGAGGGCAAAGTCCAGGATCTCAGCAGTGTGGCCCCGGTAGTCAGTGAGCAGGCGGCCAGTCCGGGCATCCCAGAGACGAACAATGCCGTCCAGGCTACAGGTGTACACCACAGCAGTGCCAGCCTCCCACAGCAGCTGAACAATGCCCGACTGTCCCGGAATGTGACACAGTAACAAAGCAGGGCAAAAGTCAGGAGGGAGAGAAGACACTGTCCCCACCTTCAGAGAGAGCCAGGCACAGAGGACAGGCTGCCCCTTAGCTGGGCACAACAGCCCACCGAGTAGGTACAAAGCCCCGGACATCATACCTGGTGCTGACATTGGTGCCGGAGTGTCTGTGTGGACAGGTCATAGATAGCCAAAGTTCCATCCAGATAGCCAACGGCGGCCAGAGGCATCCTGGGAAGCAGGAGACACAAAGAAGGCTGAGACTCTAGATCCATGCATCTTCCCTCCTCCCTGGTCCTAATGCCTGGGTCCCTCCGCAAAGCCACCTCCTCCCTCGTCTCTTGGGTTTGCAGGCCGAGGCTCTGCTCACACTCACACGCTGCAGAAGCCCAAGGACTCCACAGAGTTCGACTCGCTCTCCTCCCCCTCTCCCAGGCTGGGCTGGGAGGCCACTGTCTCAGGTCTGAACACACCCACCACCTATAGGTAAGAGAAGAGGGTCACAGAAATGAGCTCCAGGTCCCTTAACAGGGGAAAAGGACGGGGAGGGGCAGAAGGTACAGACAGAAGCCCAAGCTACATACTTTGCCAGTGGTGGCACTGATCAGCTTGGCCTGACAGTCCACAGAGCCAGTGAGGATTAGGCTGCCATCCTGGTTGGTGGCAACACAGGTCAGAGGGCCCTGGTGACCCTCAGTCCCTAGGACAGAGCAGGGGTACACAGACTCTTGAGTTCTGCACTGGCTCTCGGGCTACCCCGAGCCCGGGTCAACACCCTCGCTCCTCTGATACCTTTCAGTACATGGATGGGGTTTCCCTGCTTGAGGTCCCAAATCCTGATGGTACCGTCTTCATAGCCTACCACGGCTCTCTTCCCTAAGGACCAAAGGACAGGGCACACTCAGATACACCCAGCAAGGAATGAGCAGGGAGAATCAAGTAGGGGACCCCGAAACGGGTCACCGGCAAGATCTAGTGTGGGGCAGCAGGAGGCTGGGATGACTGACTGGAGTAGCCCAAGCCACCGGATCCACCTGTACCCCAGGAAGAGGCGGTTGCTCTCACCGTCAGGGAGGACGCGGCCACAGGTTGCAGGGCAGTTGGGACCCTGGAAGGTCTTACAGTCACCATTGGGTACCTTCCACATCCAAGTGTTACCGTCAGCTGTGCCCGCTAAGAGGACAGGTGCCCGAGGGTGCCACTCCATCCACTGGGCAGAGAGCAAGGATCAGCAAGCAAGGCCTGCTACCCAGCCTATCTAAGAGTCCATGAACCCCACCCAAGGTGTCCCTGCTTCGAAGGCTGGCAAGAGCATTACAAGTGAACAGACATTGCGGGAGCTGGGGTGCTGTGGTTCAAGGCCAGCCTCTCCAGTATAGCTACGCCTGCCCCTACCCCTCCCAGAAGTGCTCATCCCTACTTGAGGTCCCACAGAGTTGAGGACCACTCCAAGGATCTCACCTCCAGGTCTCCTGCTTCAAAGGACCAGACTTCTTCCTTGGTGTCGACCTGCCATACTTTTAAAAGACCACTCATGTCTCCTGTGGCCACTAGGGTGGAGTCATGGCTGAAACCAGCACATGTCACAGAGTCTTTATGGCCTGCAAAGAGAAGTGGGCAGGTTTTGAGTTCAAATCTGCCTGAGAGATGCAGCAAATTCAAGGCTAGCCTTGGCTACATAGTAAATCCAAGGCCAACCCAAACTATATAACCTTAAAAAAAGAAAAAGTGGCAGAAAAAGAACATTAAAAGGTGTCTCAATGCTGGGGACATGTGACCCGTGTATCTGGCCACCTTTTAAAAACAACTAACTAGAAAAACAGGTAGAAGGGCCTCAGCAGAACAAGTGACCAAACTCACTGCCACTCCAGGGACCAGGAACTCCAGGTTTCCCACGAAGGCACTGTTGACCTGTAATTCAACCCCCCAAAGCCTAGGTCTCCTAGGCATACTCCAATCTTCTCTGTGCCTCCTCCTACACCAGTACCACCTCCTCCTGTGTCCACCTTAGCCACACTCCTTTGGCCAATTAGCACTTCCTGTCCGAGTGCCTGCAAAACTTATTCTTCTAGCGTGGGTTCCTGGATCCCGCATGAGACAGAAGCTAGTCAACAGCTGCCAGGTGTTCGCACAGGCCACCTGCCCAGATGTCCAGAGGGACACAACTCCCCAGCCTCTCACCTGCACACTCGAAGAGCAGCTCCCCATCGCTGAGTCTCCACACAAAGGCTTTGTCATCTTCGCCCCCGGTCACTGCCAAGGTGTTGGTTTTGGGGTCCAGGCTCACACAGAACACAGATGCTGTCCCAAAGATAGTCCATGAAAAAGGGGATGGAACTGGGCTCTCACCTAGAGTTCTGTCCTTCAGAACCTTCGGGAAGCACACCCCCCTCTCCCCACAAAGCCATAGGTATTCTCTCCTGGAAAGGTTACAGCCAGTTGCTGTCTGAAGCACGAGGTTGTTAGAGAAATCCTTCCCAAGTCCTCCTCCAGAGCATCCCCCCGCTCTTCTGTTCCCCTTACCATCCCACTCTGAGGTACAAGCCAAAGGGGGGTCCTTTGCACAGCTAAGAGCACAGGCCACCACCAGGCTGGGTGTGAATTAAGTGACAAGAGCTTCAGGGGACTGGCTTCCTACGAACCAGCTCCTGAGAAGATCATTGTTAACGCTGCTTTTGGAGCGTCGCTTGTCTCGCTTGTCTTTAATTTCCATTAGGGTTACCTCCATTCACTTCCATCCAAGATGACTTTGTTTTGTTTTTACAGGGTTTTTCTGTGTAGCCCTGGCTGTCCTGGATCTCACTCTGTAGCCCAGGCTGGCCTCAAACTCAGAGATCCACCTGCCTCTGCCTCCTGAGTGCTGGGATTAGAGGTGCATGCCACCACTGCCTGGCCAAGATGACTTTTTTTTAAAAAGAACACCAAGATCCAGCAAGCTAACAAAAGTGATAAACTGTTAAACCGCAGAGGTAGGATTTGAACCCAGGTCTCTCACTCGACCCCACTGCCAAGCCTAATCCCTTTGGCCCTTCCTGTGGATTTCCTGTCGGCTTTCCTATTTGTCTCTCATAATATCCTGTCCAGGACCAACGCGGTCATACTTAAATGCCCATCTGCACTGACCTGAGGGGATCCCCTCCCAAAGGCCGCCTACCTGAGTGCAGTGCAAAGGTGACCTCGCTATCATCGGGGCCCTCCATGCTGCCGACCACCCCTTCCTGGGGCTCCAGGACCCAGCCCTCGTCATTGCCGTCTTCCTCTTCTTCCTCTTCCTCGAAGTCCACGTCTTCCATCTCCTGGGCCAGATCATCTGCTTTGGGGGGAAAGGGTTAAGAGATGGCTCTCTCGACATCACGGACAGGCGAGGAACGGGGTGAGGGGTGAGGAGGCGTGAATCGGGCGACGCTAGAGGTGGTGGTGGGTCATGTGGCCAGGGAGGTGAGTTAAGGTGTCCGTCCCTGCACGTACCGAGCAGGAGGAGAGCGCTCGGGGGGCGGGGAAGGGGGAAGAGGCCAGGTCTGAAGACCTGGCGTTGGCCAGCGACCGTGTGGGAAGAGAGGACAGAGGGCATGATGGGAAGGGGGTGTGTGAGGGGAAGGGCCAGGGGAGGCGTCAGGGAACCCCCACCCAGCCAGGCCTCGAAACTAAGTGTGGGGGGTAGGGAAGGAGGGCCGGGAGGGGAACGTCGGTAGGAACGGCCGGTAGGGAAGGGGGGAGGGGAGGGTGGGGGAGAAGCAGGGGTCAGAGGCCAGGGGTGAGCGCCTCCTGTCCGTCCCACGGGCCTCCGGAGCGGCAGTTCTCACCCGGGTCGGGCGGGCCGGGATCCAGCTCTACCACTTCGATG